GCAGGAGAAGCTACGTGCGACCCATAATGCCTTTTTGCTGCTAACTAGGGACGTCTGAAAGTCCTTGCTCATCTCTCTGTGCGCGTGCACAAAACCTGGTATTAACGGCTGGAAAGATTGCACCAGTATCCAATCGTGTGCTGGAAGTTCATAATAGCAAAGTGAGCCAGCTGGAGGCGGAAGAGTGTCGTGATCACAATAGATAGAACCGCGCGATTTAGTAAGTATGAGTCCAACAGATGAGGAGTCAGAATTAATGGGCACCCTAGAATTGGACTTCATTCATCTTACAATGGGCGTATTAGAACTGAAAAGGAGATTGAGAACGGTCAGAGTAATATAGGCAGTTAGTAAACGCTCGTCAGCAAGGGTCAGAGTAATGTTAGCATGACAAATAGGAACAGGGACCTTTGCAGGTGCAACTTTTGATGATATTCGTGGGCACCAAGCACACCGTCCAGAAAGGAGAGTGCCTCCAACTTCTCGACACAGCGGAAAGCCCTCATCTTTGGAAAGTGAAAACTCCTAGGAGTTCAATGTCCGTGGCTTGTCTTGTTATTTCTTCTAATCGAGACCTGGTTGAGGGCGTTTGGGAGTCAGTACTGGCATGAACTTCATGTACTACAATTTGAAACCTCTATGCTCTGACTACCAACAACGCCTTCGATGTAATGGAATTTCAGGTCAGACGGAGACCGGATAATGAAAGTTAGAAAACCGCTCTCACGTTTTGGAAAACTGTCTCGAGCCAGGTCTTGAGTTGGCCTTCTCTTTGACGTGTCTAGGCGGGCAGACGCCGGCAGCTCGAGAGTAGTACGTTCGTGCGGCGGAGGTCTCTGCGTAAGCAAAAGGGAAACTAGTTCAAAAGTTGGCTCAACACAATTTGTGGAGATGGCCTTTTGGGCACTAATTGCAGTCGCGGGAATTCAAAATACGCCAATCGAAACATAACGGAATTTCAAGTAACCCCCTACACGGATCCAGCAAAGAGATTGGACACCAGTTGGAAGGCAT